GCACTCTTGAGTAGCTCACGGTAACTGTCCTGTTGTTTGTACAGTTTCAACAAGGAGTGGTACCTTCCGTGCCATCGGGCTCAGCTTGCTCTTCCCGTTGCTTTTGCTTGAATTTCATGTTCCCATAATGCATTACAGCCCCTGTCAGTTTGTAAATGGCCACCTTTTCATCAGCGCTGAAACCCAGGATGTCCACAGCACTCTGTTGAAAGAATGTGCACCGTTATCATCACCGACAGATCCGTGCACCTAGCCTTACCGTGCCTTCCTCTTTTCCAAAGGCACTTGCATTCCTCCCTGTTGGACGTGCGCAGGCACAGCCAGAATTACGCACCAGTCCCCCATGAGGCTAAAGCTGCTATGTGACTGGTCTGTGCATATCAGTGAGCAGTCAAAGCCAGGACTTTCGATGCTCAGACCAAGGCTTTTTCCCTGTTCCTCCACATTGGTGTGGCCCATACTCCGCATTGTCGCTTGGCTTTCCTTACTTCTTTCTCCAGCTCAATTTGCTGCTTGTTCTTCCTTCTAATTTTCCTATCTAATCGGCATCAGCCTTCCCACCTCATGATCACGAAGGATGCAGTTGGAAAGAGGATCTGAGCAGGACAGGAAGGACCTTAACTATTGCCCAAATGCCTCTTTGAGATCAAGACACAGCTCAGGGGACTCTGAGATGCCCGGGCAGGATTTTCCCTGGTGAGTATTCATACAGGCTGTGGCAAAATATTCTTCTCCTTTTCATCCAGTAAGTGTAGGATGTTCATTGTTGTTCCCTTCCGATAGTGACTTGCTTCTGACCGCCCGTGCAAAGCTCTGAAAAGACTCCTACCCCAGGGACAGGCTTCAGAGAAGGAAACGATTTTATTTACCACTCTGGTCTCCTGCACCTTTCTCCACGTCATTGTCTTTCAGCTCCAGCTCTCTAAGCAAAGCGATTTACAGAACCTTGACAGTACCACAGTAGCTCAAGAACAAGGTTGCTACATTTTTTGTTTGTTTAATCTCTGAGACTGAAGAGTGTTTCACAGTTCCTTATCATTTTTGGACATGGAAATGTGATAATAAATTATGGGCAGCAAAAGCTGATATTTATAAATTAAAGACATACATCATTTTCGGTTTCATGAAAATAATACTTTAAAGGAAAATTTTAAAAAAAGAAAATTTGTGTGAGTGGTGATACTGGGAGCGTAGAGGGAGAGTGGGTTGGAAAGGGGGAACCGATTACAAGGATCTACATGTGACCTCTTCCTTGGTGGACGGACAACAGAAAAGTGGGTGAAGGGAGATGTCAGACAGGGCAAGATATGACAAAATAATAATTTATAAAATATCATGAGGGAGGGGGAGGCTTAAGTGGAGAGCAAATGTTTTGAGAATGATGAGGGCAATGAATGTACAAATATGCTTTACACAATTGATGTATGTATGGGTTGTAATAAGAGTTGTATGAGCCCTTAATAAAACTATTAAAAAATAAATAAATAAAATAAACTAAAAAAATTAATAAATAAATTTCATTATCAAAAAAAAGAAAAGAAAAATATTTTGTAAGCAACTTTCAACTCTATCTTGGGAGTGTGAGTAAAATAAAAAATGTATCAAAAGATTAAAGAACATTGATTATTCAGAAGTTAAAAATAAAACAGTATGTATAAAGTATCTGTATAAAGAAAATAAGCTAAAAGGTAACCATCCTTATTTTTAAAAGGAGGGTCACTTTAGTTCCAAAAGCAGAATAGGGTTATGGAGTTCCCAGAAAGGTATTTTTGAGGGAGAAGGAGTACTTCTCTTAGCTGTCTAGAAGGAGAGAGCCATTCAGAAGATGTTGGGGGTATTTGAAATATAATTCATGTTAACATCTGACAATAAAGGAACTGGGAGACTTTCATCATCCTGTTGTATTTTTTAATGGAAAAATATTGTAGCTTTTATCATGCAGAATGCATTGAAAAATGAATTGGTTCAGATGCAGTTTGGCTAAAATGTAGTACCCTCTCATTTGCTCTCCCGTATGATCCATTTAAATTTGTTGTAGATTTAATATTTTTCTGCTTTCTTTGCTATTGGGCTTTTAACTGTTTTACTTTGTTATTGTTCTTTGTTTGTGTTTTTTGAGAACCGATTTTCTATCTGTGAAATCCAGGATAGGTAAATCTATAGAGACAGTAACTGGAGTAATGGTTCCTTGGGGGTACGGCAAGGGAGTTTGGGGGTCAATGGGGAGCTAATTATGACAAATGAAGAAAATGTTCGTTCATTCTGGAATGAACACAGGAATGAAGAAAATGTTCTAAAACTGCCGTGATGATTGCACTGCCTTTCTTGGTGTGATTGACGTATTGAAGTATACTATGCGAAGCATATGCTAATAAAAACGTTGAAAAAAATGGTAGCTTTCCCCCAGGTTTTTTGTGACTGGAGTCTGGCATAAATTCAAGAGAAACATCAAGATAGCCGACAAAAATGAATCCAGAAGGATAAGAAAAAAAATTGGAAATAGCTAAGGAATGCCAAAGACCTACGGTTTATTATAGGCACCTAAAGGTCTCTAGCACGTGTGAAAACATAAGAAATCCTTTGGGGGTTTTCTGGGTTGGTAGTTGTGTGTGTGTGTGTGTGTGTGTGTGTGAATTCTGCCCTCTCTAACAGGAGAGTCTTGTGTACTAGCAAACCAATTGTACATGTGACTTACGTCTGTGGCCATCAACTCTTCCTGGTCATCAATGCTGGGCACTGTGATCTCTCCCTGACTGACGAAGGCGAAGTCATACGGGTTGGTGGTGGTCAGGAGCATCTCTGAACGCATGGAAACAAACATCTATCAGCAGGCTCACCTTGATCATCAGCCACATTTGGGATGGATTTATAGGGAAGGCTGTTAGTAGAAATCAAAGACGCTTCTTACCAATAAGCTCTGGTTTCTTGTTGGACATGATCTGATAAAATATGTGGTAGCTTCTTTCAGCCTTTAGCTGGAAAGTAACTCGGGACTTCTCTAGCAGATCTGGAAAGTCAGGTTAGGCACGTAAAATTTGCAAAAAGAAAAGGCCGATGGGAAGTTACATGCTTGAAAAGTTAACACAACACAGATAGCAAAAACAAGATGTGCCCATTTGCACCCCAAAGAAAAGGATTCTCGACCACGAATCCTGCGTTGACTTACACGTTTCAATATCTGCAGAAGCCAGTTTGCCTGTGGCACCAAAATGGATCCTGATGAATTTACCCTTAAAAAGGCAAAGGAGGACTATGAGAAAGCAAACGATTCTGCTCAGACCGTGGACCCAAGAGACGGAAG